TCATAGGAGGTTCTGCAATGACCTGTATGTTTGTGCAGGCAGTAGAATAAGTGCTCGAAATTGTACAGGTCATTGCAGAACCTCCTATGAGCCTGGGACCCTCAAATATCGTCATTAAAATTAAACAAGTATAATAAAATATGACGTAATTTTTAAACAAGGGCAAATTAAATTACAAAATTTACTTCAAGCCTCCTTTCATTACGTTTAAATTCATTTCCTTTTACACAGAAAGTATTTAATATTAATTATTGACTTCGTATATTTAGGATGGAATGTAACCAAATTATAACTTGTAGTAATTAAAATTTGTCTTTCTTTAACTACAAATAGTGTGTAAATACGAAACGCAGTCGTTCTTATAAAATACGAAAACCTGCGCGAGAAAGATTTGAATTCGTAAAGCACACCTGCGACGCACACGTGCAACTGTCACGGTTGGCATGCCATAAGGTTCATTTCACATTTGTTATGCACGACTGAATGAACCGTATTGAGCGCCTTTCCTCACTGTTGCGTAATACGTGACGTCAGCGTTGCAAGGTTATAAATAGCAGTCGACAATCGGCTTCCGTCAGTCTGGAGCGAATGGTGTTGGTGAAAGGATACGTGTTAACAACATTCTTTTATATTTAGTAAAATGTTTCTGTTGAATCATTTATTTAATTTTATAATTAGTGACACTTTTGCGTACCAAATTTTATTTAATTTTTTATTCAGATCTTCACAAAGGGTGAGTCACAGGTTTCCTATTTATTATTAATATTATTATTTCGTTATCTTGAGGGTTTGTATGTGATTTTTAAGTTATGTAGTTAATATATAAATGTGTTACAGATGTAGCTTATATTTGTGCTATGACATGTTCTTCATCTGTGGCTTAGCCGTATGAATGATCTGTAGCTTGTAATTAAATTCTGTTTAGCCGTTCATTTGAATATCTATGAAGGGAGGTTGCCTTTGTAGTTTAATATTTGTGTTATGCCATTTACATGTATTTTATTTTGAGAGCATTTTATTCTGATTTTAGAAAATTATGGCGAATATTGCATTGGGACTAGATGCAATTCGCCTATCAGCCTTAAGGAAAGCATCAGTTGTATTTCCAAACAGCAAGTGTGCTGTTTATGATCTTTTGAAGAACAGAAGTGAAGAAATGTGTGAGCTGAGTGAAAATTTTCCCTCCCTTTCTACAAAAGAATCGTATGGTTCAGATGTTGCAATAAATTGTAATATGAATTCATGTATTGACAATGTGGAATTTGCTGGAGGAGAGGATTATTCATCATTGTCAACTTTGAAGCAGTTATATGATATGGACCAGCTGCGGCAAAGGAGAGTGAAGGATTTCATTAATGAGCGTATCAGGAACATGGTGAAGGTCTCTCAGATTCGCCAAATGGAGTTCCACAGTAAATATCAGTGTGTCCAGCATGAGATCCAAGCAAAGGTGCTTCGATATGAGCAGCAGATTTTACGCCAAATGCAAGAAGATGAGATTCTTGCAAATGAGAGGCTACAGCAGTTGGCGCAACAATACAAAAAGCATACTCAAGTAAGGCAGAATTTGTGTACAAGATTTTATTTGAACATATACAAGATTGTAATTGTACAGTATCAGGTTACCTCTTTCTTTTTAAGAGTGGGTTCCAGGTGTGACCTGTATCCCTTCTCTTTAGCAGGCCACATCGTAATAGTTTATTCTACGAGGCGCGTCCACAAAGTAAGTTTCCCACTCGTCCCACAGCTAGCAAACCTTATATTGCGCGAAGCGACTGTGCGTACGTGATAGAGCAATGACGTAGCATGGCGCATGCACTAACGGCACTTCCCGCGTTCTCACAGTAGCATCGTGGCAGCTGTTGAAGATGGAGGTTCTTATTCCAGCTCCAGCCGACTGTGAAGTGCGGTCAGTGATAACGCTAGGCCGCACACGACTCGACGGACAGCAAGTCTCCTGCAGAAGTTCAGCTGGGAGGTGTTTAATCATCCACCCTAAAGCCCAGACCTCGCTCCCAGTGATTTCCATCTTTTCCTACACCTCAAGAAATTCCTGACAGGGATTCCAAAGTTGGTCCCACGGTATGACAAATGTCTCAATTCCGGTGGCGAATATGTTGAAAAATAGCTGGACACTTGCTGTATCTGTTGCAATAAATATTTCCATGAAATTGTGTTTTGTTTCTGTAAACGGCCCCAGGGAAACTTACTTTGTGGACGAGCCTCGTATATATGAGTTGAGATTATGGAAACTTTATTATGTGAAAGAATAGAACCTTTTTTTCTCCCAATAGTATGTAGTCTTCTGTCATACTGTTGTTTTCTCCCCATAACATTTCACTTTTCCAAACCTAATATGCTGAAAATATGCTTTAAATTAAGAAACTGTACATTCAGAATGGAGAAATGCTGATGGCTTCCACACAAAACTTAGCATAGTTTTTTCATATTTTAAAAACTTATTTTATTTAAATATTTGAAACTTATAAGTTAATATGCATCATGCTGTATGTGAGTGTTTACACCTTTCTGTCTGGGAAAGAGCATTGGAAAAAAGTACTGCTTAATTTGAATGGCACTATGAAATGAAAAGAGAAATTCAAAATAATAATGAGATATCAGTTGAAGATTTCCGTCTTCTGGGTTGTTGCGCTGTGACCCTGATGGCGGAGGCAGTATGACCTCTGAAACGTTGGTTAACATCAACCAGACTACACAGCGCAACAACCCAGAAGACGGAAATCTTCATACTCACCGCTGTGAGAACCTCAAGTCTTACGAAATATCAGTTGTATAATCATACTATGAGTTTTTTAATCTTGTAATTTAGCCAGTTTTGTCATTTGTACACAGACTGTATATTATTATAGCAGAAAGAAATATGATAAATATGCCAACTTTGAGTAATAAAATACTTCAGACTTATTACCATGATTATTGCTACAACCTAATATTCTGCAATAGATGATAATTTTCCAATTATATATTTATTTGGTTTCCCTCACAGTAGAACATTGGTAAGTTTTGATCACAAGTTCAAGCATACACAGTATTTTCATGCTTTTATGTGGTCCCAGAAAAATGCTAGGGTAGTACCTTAAATTATACTACAACTGCTTCTTTCCACAAACTTTCCAATTCATCATTCCCAATCGTCCTCTCGCTCACTGTTATATAATCACTGACAATGAGAAATAATTTTTAATGTAAAAATGAATTGATCCATACTTAAGATGTGAGTTGTTACTACAGTTATATTTGTAAATATTTTCTTTTGTAGCATATAAATGAAAAGATTAAGGAGGCACAAAGACAGAAAGAACCAGAGGAGGAAGAGAGAAAAATAATAAATGAAAGAAAGATCCAAATTGACAAAGTGCATCAGTATCATATCGAGTATCAGACAAAATGCAAACAGAGTGTTGAAGCATCTAGGTATGTTGTTAGTGGTCAGGTATAA